CTGTGCGTGACAGGGGGTGGGCCCACCCCCTCCCCATCGACCCTGCCTTGAGTGTGACAGGGGGCACCCCAATCTCCCAGTTGGCCCTACCCTGAGCATGATTGAGGTTGGCATCGCAACCTCCTGATCCACCCTGCTCTGTGCATGACAGGGTGCGGTGCCCCAACTCCCCAATCGGCCCTGCTCTGAGCCCAACCAGGGGCTGCACCTAGGGATTGGGCCTGCCCTCTGCCACCCAGGAGCAGGCCTAAGCCATCAGGTCGTTATCTCCCGAGGGGTCCCAGACTGCGAGAGGGCACAGGCCGGGCTGAGGGACCCCGCCTCCACCCCGAGTGCACAAATTTTTGTTCCCCGGGCCTCTAACAATGGGTGCTGGCATATCTATAGAATAACTTCCCAAAAGTAGAACTACATATCAGAGGGTAAATGCATTCATTTTTTAAGGCACTGTCAAATTGACCACCATAATGGTGGTTACGATTTACCACACCAGCCAGCAATATATAAGAATTCATCACGGCCTCACCCACTGGGTCAAACTTGTGCATGTTAGCCAACCTGGTAGGTGAAAAATTATATACCATTTTAACTTGCATTTCTTTTTTAACACTATGAGTTAAGCAACTTTTCATACTTAAGGAAATGTAATTTTCTTTCTGCTCAGTCCTTTGACTATTCTACTGGGCAATGGGTTTTTTCCTTCTCAATTTCTAAAAGCTCTTTATGTATTAGAGATATTAGCTTTGTCTATGTATGAGCTGGAAGCATTCTCCCCAATTTGCCATAGTCTTTCAATGCTTCTCTCCAAGCTTAAGTTTATTATTCTTGTATAGTTGAATTTATCAACCTCATTTTTTATGGCTTCTGGATTTTATCTTATTATACTTTTAAAAATTCACTAATTAACATTAACTTTATCTGTCCCATGGTCTTGAGGGAATGGCTATAGTAAATATGAACAGAAATGATACACTGTAAAATTTTTCCTCACAATTTTAAGTTTTTAAAAGTACCAGAAATTTCTTTTAAAAATTGTATGACATTACATGAAACAACATTCAACCCAATTAAAAATATAGAAATATTAAAGCAAGCTTGATTATATCATTTCATACCTACTAATTAGTAGACAAAATTTTGATTAAAGCATCCAACATTGGTAAGGTTATGTTGAAATTGGTACCTTCATACTGTTGGCAGCATTACATAAATTCATTTGGAATTTTTATCAAGAACTATAAAAAAGATTATACCCTTCAACCTAGTAATCTCATTTCTAGCAATTTATCCTCCAACTGGAAAAATATGCATAAGTATTAAGATATACACTACACTGTTACCAGTGCACATAAAAACTTAAAAACAATTTTATTAACCAATGTCACCCCCAATAAATTAATTTAAAATAAATAAATGTGGCAGAATTTAAATGTTAAAAAACTTAGAAGCAACCTAAATGTCTAATAATTACAAAACAGCTAAGTCAAGTTATGGCACATCCACTCAATGGAATGATACAGAGCCATTAGTTCTGACTTCTACCTCTAGTCAAGGTGAAGTAACAGGGACCAGATTTATCCTGACAGCTGGAATAACCACAAAACCAGGCAAAATATGTAAAGCAAACACTTCAAGACACTGAACATCAGTAAATGAAAAACAATGATACCTGAGATAGAAAATGAGTAAGAGTTTGCTGCCTACTCAAAGTTAACAGATCATGATGAGGAATGAGGAAACCCATGTAAAGCTCAGTGATCTCCTTAAGTTGAGGAGATGGAGCTGGTTGTCCCCAAAGCAGCCAGAGTTCATTTGGCAAAGAACCAGAGGAGGGAGCTGCACAGACAGAACTTGTGAGCTCTGCAAAGGGTTCCTTTAACATTAGTTGAGTACTGATCTACATATGCATAGAAGGAAACCACCTGAAGCCAGAGAAAAAATGACCTGTAAGAATTAGTGAGAACATATCCCACAAGTCACACAGGACTGGGAAAATGCCTGTTCCTACCATTTCTGGTGGGAAACTCCATAATTACTGTGGCATTGAGTAGAATAGACAAAAGAGGTTTGGTCTCAGTAATAAGGGAAATTAGCCCAGGCTAAATGCTACTCTGGTCCTCCCTAAAGAGCTTAAAAGCAAAACCCAAAAGGATCAAGCTATAAATTATGTTCAAGTAACATCAGCACACTGGAACAAAGTTCATCAATATAAATCTAAAAATATCTAGTATCCAAAAAAGGCAAAATTCACAATTTCTGGCATCCAGTAAAAAAATGACAAGGCATGCAAAGAAGCAGGAAAATATGATCCAAAATGAGGGGGGGAAAACACATCAAAACTAACCAACTATAGATGATAGAATTGGTAGACAACAACATTAGAAGTTAGAACTGTATTACATATGTTCAAGAGTAAAGATTGAACATGTTTTGTAGACATAAAAGATACAAAAAAGAGAAACAAATGGAACTTACAGAGGTAAAAAATACAAAGATAAAAATTACACTGCATGTAATTAATGACAGATCAGATACCACAGAAGAAGAGTGAATTTGAAAAAGAACAATACAAACTATTCATAATTAAAAAGAGAATAAACAATAAAATAATCAAAGCAAAAAAATGAGATGTGAAAGAACTTCAAGTTATCAAATATACATGTACTTAGAGTCCCTGAAGAAGAGGAAAGAGGAAAATAGAAAAAAAGTTGCTCAACATCACTCATCATCAGAGAAATACAAATAAATACTGCAATGAAGTACCACTCACACCTGTCAGGATGGCTATCATCAAGAAATCAACAAACAAGTGTTGCTGAAGATGTGGAGAAAAGAGAACCTTTGTGCATTGTTAGTGAGAACGCAGACTGGTGCAACCACTCTGGAAACATTGTGGAGGTTCCTAAAAATCAAAAAATGGAATTGCCTTATGATCCAGTGGTGATTGCACTTCTGGAAATAAATCCAAAGAAATCTGAAACATTAATTCAACAGAATATATGCACCCTGTGTTCACTGCAATATTATTTGCAATAGCCAATATATGGAAGCAACCCAGGTGTCCATCAATAAATGAATGGATAAGAAAGCTGTCACACATATATACCATGGAATATTACTTGGCCATTAAAAAGAATGAAGTCTTACCATTTATGACAACATGGATGAACCCAGAGGGTATTATGCTAAGTGAAATAAGTCAGAGAAAGACAAATACCACATGATTTCACTTACATGTGAAGTCTAAAGAACAAAATAAACAAAATAGAAACAGACTCATAGATACAGTGAACAAAGTGACAGTTGTCAGAGGGGAAGTGGGGTTGGAACTAGGTGAAAAACGTGAAGGGATTAAGAAGTAAAAATTGATAGTTACAGAATAGTCAGAGAAATGTACTTACAGCATAGGGAATATAGTCAATGATATCATACACACACATACTTGAAACATCAAGGGGACCACTCTGTAAAGTGCATAATTTTCTAGCCACTGTGCTGTACATCTGAAACTAATACAGGATAATACTAAATGTAAACTGTAATTGAAAAAAATAAAGATTCTGGGACTTACAAGGGTCAGGCCAGAAAAACTTCTTTACTGAGGTCAATTAATGTCTAAATGAACTACATATGACATATCTGTGCATATAATTCAATAAAGCACCTCGTTATTATTAAAAAAAAAATTAAGACAAAATGGCCAAAACTTGAAGAGACCTATAAAAGCACAAATCAAAAAAGTTTAACAAATTTCAAGCATGCCAAGGCACATTATAGTCAAATACTAAAAATCAGAAATGAAGAGAAAATCTTAGAGGGTAAAAACACACTTTACAAACAGAAGACACAAAAAAAGATGATGGGAAAAATTATAAGCTGGAAGACAATGTAGGAACATCCTTGAAGAAGTAAAATGGTGATAAAACTTCACCCGAGAATATTTTACCCAGTTATTATTCGAGGCAAAATACTTTTTCATATACACAAGAGCTAAAATATTTGTCATTGGTAGACCTGCATTATAAGAAATGTGAAAAGAAGTACTACAAGCAGAAATTAAATGATAGCAAATAGAAATGTGACTTTACACACATACACTCAAATGAAGAGTCCAGAAATGGTAACAGTGTGAGAAAATATAAAGACTTTTTCTATTACTTAAATATCTTCAAAAGATAATCAACTCTGTAAAGCAAAAATAGTAACAGTGTATCGTAGGATTCACAGCATATGCAGAACTATGTCATCAATACCACAAAAGGCAAAGGGAGATAAGTGGAAATATACTAAAGCACTACAATGCTTACACTAAGAAAAAAAAGGTCTCAAATCAAATACCTGATTGATCTTCTAAAAAACTAGGAAAAAAGAAAGCCAAAGTAAACAGAAGAAAATACAAAGCATTTTTCATAAAGGACTTGTATGCAGAATAAAGAACTCTCAAAACTCAGGAAGACAAAGAACCTAACTAAAAATGAGACAATTTGAATAGACATGACACCAAAGATGATATAAGCACATCTTTGATGATGATCAACATCATTAGTAATTACAGAAATACAAATTAAAATCACAGTGAAATACCACTACATTCCAACCAGTATTACTAAAATTACAAAAACTGATCACACCAAGTATTGGAGAGGATGTGGAGAAATTAGAACCCTCATATACAGCTGGAGAGAGTGTACATTGGTACAGCCACCTTGGGAAACAGTTTGGCAGTTTCTAAAAATGCTAAATATAAACCTACTCTATGAGCCAACCATTCCACCTAGTGTTTACCCAGGAGAAAGAAAGCATATCTTCTCAGTAGGAAGATACTGGTGTCAAGGAGCTCATTCATAGTCTATAAGGGAATAAAAATAAGTAGTATGTCAGTAATTACTATAGTATGTGATAGTGCTTATAGTAACGCGAATAGGAAGGGCATGTTAATTCAGAGTTAGGCAGTCAGGGAAAAATTCCTAGGGGAAATAAGGTATAAACTGAAATCTGCGTATCAATTAGCCAAGTTCTAACAATCCTACATAATAAAAGGCTAATATGCAAATCAACCGAACAGCGGACCAACTGGTCACTATGACACACACTGACCACCAGGGGGCAGACGCTCAATGCAGGAGCTGCCCCCTGGTGGTCAATGCGCTCCCACAGGGGGAGCACCACTCAGCCAGAAGTCGGGCTCACAGCTGGCAAGCACAGCTGCGGTGGTGGGAATCTCTCCTGCCTCCACAGCAGTGCTAAGGGTATCCAACTGATGGCTTAAGCCCGCTCCCCGCTGTCAGACATCCCCCGAGGGCTCCCAGACTGCGAGAGGGCACATGCCAGGCTGAGGGACCCCTCCCAACAGCCCACCTCCAAGTGCATAAATCTCATACACCAGGCCTCTAGTGTGAATATAATATGGTATGAAAGCCCAGAGGTAAAAGGGAGTAGTAGCTTATTAGAGGAAATAAAAGAAGTTACAATATCTTAAGCATAGTGAAATGAGGTTGGAAAAGTGAAGCTAGGAAAAATAATGCAGGGCATTTAAGCCATGTTATGAATTTTTGTACTTCATTCTAATAGCAATGCAGAAGCACTGAATTTCAAGCAAGACACTGGCATAATCAAAACTGAATTCTTGAAGGAAAACACTGAAACTCTGTAGTGTGGAATGTGGATTAGGAAGCAAGATGGGAAAGAGGGAGCCTAATTAAGAGGCCATTATGTAAGACCAGGCAAGAAATTGAAAGTAATTAACAGGGATGAAAGAAATGGAAACATCTATGAAAAATTTAGGAGGCAGAACCAACATAACGTTTAAGTGCCGTGAGAAGTGTGGGAGAGGTATAAGGATGCCCAATATCTGACATGGCCATTGGGAGATCACACTAATTTTCTTCTATGTTACTTGCCATTATATGTAGGTCCACTGTCCACACTTCCTCCGTATCCTTTAGTCTCACAATTTGGGGGAGCCCAGCCATTTTCACAGTGACAATTCTTATTGCTATTACATACCTTCAAAACAAACAAAACACCATTTTTGTTCATTGTGAATGTTGTTCTAAATCATGAACTCTAGAATAGAAACCAAGAGAAAGAACTAAATTCATGCAAATTCATAGACACTCTTTAAGAATAAAAAATGTATCAGGTATATAAATTCCCCAATCTAAAAATTTAAAAATCTTAGGAAGTCTCACATAACCCTTACTGCAGCGGTTCTCAACCTGTGGGTCACGACCCCTTTGGGGGTCGAACGACCCTTTCACAGGGGTCGCCTAAGACCGTCAGAAAACACATTTATAATTACATATTGTTTTTGTGATTAATCACTATGCTTTCATTATGTTCAATTTGTAACAATGAAAATACATCCTGCATATCAGATATTCACATTACGATTCATAACAGTAGCAAAATTACAGTTATGAAGTAGCAATGAAAATAATTTTATGGTTGGGGGTCACCACAACATGAGGAACTGTATTGAAGGGTTGCGGCATTAGGAAGGTTAAGAACCACTGCCTTACTGGGATTCCTCATTAAACAGCATTATTTCCATGAACAAGCCAAAAGAGAACATGACTCACCCCATGTCCATGACACTTCTTCTGAATGTCACAGTCATAATTCAGAACAGAAGCATTTACACATTGGAAATTTCTACAGATCTGGGGGAGGGGAAATGAAGTAATAAGTAAAGAAAAATTGACAAATTAATAAAACTAGCCAGGAAAAAAAGACCTGGGCATAGATAATTTCATTATTTAGGAACTCTTTCAAACTCTTATTTTTTAATATAATTGATTTATTTTTTTTTACAGAACGGAAGGGAGAGGAATAGAGAGATAGAAACATCGATGAGAGAGAAACATCAATCAGCTGCCTCCTGAACACCCCCTACTGGGATGTGCCCACAACCAAGTACATGCCCTTGACTGGAATCGAACCTGGGACCCTTCAGTCCACAGGTCGATGCTCTATCCACTGAGCCAAACTGGTCATGGCTTTTTCAAACTTTTAAAGAATAGTTATTCCCATATTATATATTTGCAAATGGAGAAAAGTAAGTAAAATTAATTAATTGACATATAACTAATTGATCATAAAGGGCAAAGATGATACAAAGACCAAAAACAAACTATAATATACCCTTCTATACTAAAATAGATGTGAAAATCCTAAGTATTCAGATGAGGAAAACTACAGAATTTCTCGTTTTTTATTTCAGGACATTAAGTTTGGAGCCAAAGATGAACTATCTGGGACCACAAAAAAAAAGAAGCTTAAGAGTGCTCCTCTTCCACTTTTTTTCACTCTTAATGTTTAGCCTCTCCCCTAAATAAAAATGTTGAGTAAACATATCAAAAATAGATGTCTGAAGTAACACCAAACTGAAAGCCTGCTCACAGTGCCAGGGTCTAGCCTTTAGCAGAGGCCAGAAAGGATAGGATCCAACCCATCCTATTTCACTGCTGTACACAATGTTCAGTGCTTGGTTCTATCAGTGTGTCAGCATAGGCACACATACCAAGCATTTCCTATCCTTCTTGTACATAAATGTTAACATATTATGACATCACAACAAAATGCAAAGTTAAAGGGCCTAATGATATATCTATACATGTTAGTACTAACCTGGAGTTTAAAGTCAATATTTTTCCAACAACAACAACAAAAAAGCATGTAGGGGTTTGAAAGCAATAATGATACATTTTATATGGGGGAAATCAGTAGATACTATTTTTATTCTTGATGTTGGTGGGAGAAATATACTAATGTGTTTTTCTTGCTATAAAAAAACCCAGAAGGACTTTAATGGGGAAAAAAGATAAGTCACTGCCACACTGAACTCACACACACACACACACACACACACACACACACACACACACACACACCACAAACATACAATTTTTTTAATCCAGGAAGAGAATAAGATAAGGTAGGAAATATTTTTTAAAACAGTATTAAGATCATATAAATAGGTTGAAACATTAACAAATTCAACAGTGCCAATAAAAGCCAAAGCCCTACCAAATTATAAAAATACAAAATCAAAACAGAATATTTATATTATATTGGGATACAAAAAAACTTTTCTAAGCATGACATGAAACCAAGACAAAACTGAAAGATAGTTTAAAGTTTCTTTATGGCAGAGACAAATGAGAAACTGTAAAAAATATTTGCAACATAACTGACAATTAACATTCTTTATATATGAGGAACCCTTAAAAACAATAAAAAATGACAACGCAACAAAGAAAGAAAAAAGATGTGAATATGGACTTAACAGAAAAAAAATACATAGAGGTAATAAAAATTTAAAAAGATGACCAAGAAGAAAAATGCAAAATAAAATAATGAGGCTGTGGGAACCACACCAGGTCCCTGCATAGTCAAGGCCAATGGGAGCACAGAGGCCTTGTTATCAATACACCAGAATGGCCAAATGCCGCTCTGGCATAAGCCTAATCAAGATGTCCAAGGACTCTGAGCCTGGGAATCCTAATCAAGCCAAGATACATGAGCAGGTGCAAGGACACGCAGGACACTCTGCCCTTCTGTAGCCAGTGTGATTGATGTAACTATTGGCACGAAGCCTTCTTTGTCTAAATAGTGTAAAAGTAGGTTACTGACCAGCTAGTCCGATGGAGTGAGAAGTCTGTGAGAGAGCAGGCGAAGAGAAGAAGAGAGCTCAGCGAAGCAGAGGCGACAGGCACAGAGAATGTAGCTCCTATGTGTGCAGGAGACGCTGGGGAGCTCAGATACTGCTATACCAGCCGGTGTCTGGCTGCCTGCCTGTAGTTTGCTGTGAGGGCTGTTCTTGTCTGATGGCTATATGGCCCCTGGCTTCTGCAATAAAGACTCATTCTTATATACCCACAACTGATCATGGCTTCTCCGTTTGCCCCGCTGCCAAGAATCGACCTGTGTCTCTGACACTTGATAAAGGAGGAACTTAGACTAAGTTCCCAACAATTGTACAGTGGGCAGGGTTCAAGCAGGAACCAGCCCTGACGTAGTCGAATGGGAGAATTTAGAAGAATACATGGACTGAAAGTCACCCAGAACAACTCAGACCAGCAGAGCTGTGCAGGGCTCTGGCTATGCTCTGACAGAGGCTTTTTGTCACCTAGTCAGGATGTCAAAAATTAAAGAGATTAGAAACACACAATGTTAGCAAGAGTGTGAGAGAAAATAAGACACCCTTATATACAACTAGTGGAATGGAAGTTACCACCTTACTGAAAAGTAAATTGGCAGTGCCTATAAGATTATTAATGCATATCTCTTAATTTAAAAAAATCAACTAGAAATCTATCCTACAGAAGTACTCACAAAAGTAGGTGAGAGTAAATGTAGATGAGTGTTCGATGCTACTAAAAAAATAATAAACTAGACGACAAAATAAGAATGTGAAGGGTCTGAATATGTAATTATCAAACACTATCCTATCTAATAAAACAGAAACATAATTGGTGTGCGACCACTACCCTTCCCATTGGCTAATCAGCGAGATATGCAAATTAACTGACAGCCAAGATGGCATAACCGCCAACAAAGATGGCGGTTAATTTGCATACTCACAATGATGAGAGGCGAAAGGGGAAGGACTGAAGAATGTGGTGATCAGCAACCCAGGTGGCAGGCAAGAGTTGGGGGGTGGGCAACGGCTGCCTTCCCCCCCACCCCCAGCGGGTGATCGCCATGGGAAAGCTGGGGTTGCCGGCTGGCCTGCGGCCCTGATCGCCATGGCAATTGGAGGGCGGGAGGGCCGAGTTGCAGGCCAGGAAGCAACCACAGACCCCCACCATGGCAATCGAAGGGCGGGAGGGCGGGGG